ACCGACCGATCTGCAAGATCGAACGTATACTCAAGGTCCACAGCGCCCCGCGCACCGTCGCCCGCTTCGAGGACTACCGCGCCGCCGTCAAATCCCGCGCCCTCCCCCACCTCTCCTCCTTCTCCGCCTCCGGCGCCGCCGCCCGCCACCACCCGTCCCGCTGCGCCGCGGACGGCAACGAGCTCCTCCGCTTTCACTGCACCTCCCTCTCCTGCCCCCTCGGCGCTCGCGGCTCCACCTCCCTCTGTCCCAACTCCAGCTCCAGCTCCCCCTCCTCCTCCTGCGGGGTCTGCACCATAATCCGCCATGGCTTCGCCCGGGCACAGTACCCGCACGGCGTGCGCACCACCGCCAGCAGCGGCCGCGCTCACGACTCGGGGCCTTCGGCCGCCGCGGAGGACGGCCGCGGGGAGCGGCGGGCGATGCTGGTTTGCCGCGTCATCGCCGGGCGGGTCCGGCGCACTCCCGACGACCCTGCGGCGGAGGAGGCGTACGACGCGGTGGCGGTCGGGGACGGATGCGGGGCGTACGGAAATCTGGAGGAACTGATCGTGGCCAATCCGAGGGCCATCCTGCCTTGCTTCGTCGTCATCTATCGGGCCGTCAGTTGAGTGATACATCTGCATAGATTCTGATGGTGATAGCGTGACAGAGAAAGGGTTGCTCACCCGCTTCAAAGTCATTACCTTCTCAAGCTACTACTCTTTTGCTTGTACATAAAAGATTCTGCTTGTTTTGTTGCTACATCTTGTGAGCTCTGTCTTCATGTTTTATGCGTAGTAAAATGTAGTTGGCGCATCTATCACATTTGTACAAGTTCGGAAGATAACGAGACCTCTCGAACATAACATGTCGAAGAAGCATGCAAGTCCGGCAGAGACAACAGTGACCGGTACCAAGCCATTAAGAGCATATCACATCATCATCATCCTTCCTAGGAATTTTGCAGTGTACCATGGCCTGCCCGATCGACTTTAACTCTTCAAGAGATGAACTACAGCTTGAACCATTTGAAGTTACCACATATTTTAGTCCTCCACATGGCATGCCTCGATATTTAAACTTGAAGCACACATTTTTGTGATCATTAGCTCCAATGGCAATAATAAAAGAGAATGGTATACAATTCATGCAGCCACCTACTCCATGTCTCCTGATCCAAAGAGACCCTCCTCTCCCTTTTTTTTCTCTTTTCTAACGTATGGGTTCTCGGCAACCGTAGCCTTATAATTGCAGGGCACATGATCCGATTTGTCATCGAAGCAAGAATAGATTGACAGTGAGTTAGGTTGACCACAGTGAGCTCATTTAAGCCTCCCTCGCTTCTCTAAGGAGTGTTAGAAACTACTTTAATAGTAGAAGATGAAGATGATTACGTTACTCCATTCATTCGATGGCTCTTTGGGTTGCTGCGGAGTTCTTGGGTCCACGTGAAGCTTCTTTCTTCCACTCACGCCCGCCAAAGTCCACCGGGATAGCCACCACTGAGAAAGAGGTGAGAGACCTCGAGTTCAGTGTCAGCTCAAAGTTAGAGTAGCTAAAGGTGCCCGGTGCTGGTTAGCAGGTAGCAAAAGTATATATATCTGTCTAATTCTTTGGCACTTTGTCAAATGCCCTGTAGCTCCTGCACGCATGAGAGGACATCTAATAATTAAAAGCAGGATGTGATCATGTGCTCGCGAACAACCACTACGCCTGTGCGAAGGGAAGTTTACAGTGCTTTCGGTGAAGAGATTGGCATGGCGTCTCTACCACTGTTCAACGGAATCAATGTTTTGAGATCCTACCGTCATACTACGTTGGTAGAAATTTATTTTCTTACATAGGATTTGGTGGATGGAGATTTTCTTTAAAAAAATAAAAAAAATAGAAAATTTATTTTATTATATTAATTTACTTGTTTTTTTATTTATGTCTGTTACTCTTTTATTTATTTATTTGATGTTTTAATAAGATTTATTGACTATGATTACATGTAGCTATTATGATTATTATTATGCTTAGTTATTAAAATCAAAGGGGAAAATCTTTTTTTCTCACTATGAAATTCTCTTTTAAAATTTTCATAATGTTTTGTCATCAAAAAAATTATTGTCGCAGAACAAAGGAAAAGGGCAACGACTATTGCTGCCCTATGGTTTGGTCGAAGGCTGCTTACAGCTTTGTGGGCTAGGGATTCCTTGTTGCAAGGGGCACTTTTGGTGGTCAGGATTTCTTAATCGCCTATGCACACCCTGTAGCAAGGATTCTTAGTTGTAGAGGATATCATGAGAGCCAAGGATTCCTGGTCGCTCAAGGTAGTCCTACGACCAAGGTTTCTTGACCGCATGGGAAACCCTAGGGTAGGGTACTCCAAGGAAATATAAGAATGAGGTAGAGAATCATATTGAAAAAAGTATCAAGACTCTTCGATCAAATCGAGGAGATGAGTACTTAAGTATAGAGTTCACCTAGTTCCTCAATGACCATGAGATTATATCCCAATAGACACCTCCTTATAAATCTCAACTCAATAGTGTCTCAGAAAAGAGAAATCACATGCTGTTAGATATGATGCGGTCTATGATAAGTTTCACCGACCTACCCGTCTTATTCTAGGGATACGTCTTAGATTTCGTAGCTTACATTATGAACAAAGTTCTAATTAAATTGATAGTATCTACACCATATAAAATATGAAAAAGAAAAAAACATAATCTTATTATTGTTAAGATTTGGAGAGATGATCTATTAATCTTGTTAATGGATCTTCAAGAAGAAGATCGGAATAGATGGAAAGATGGAGACATATAAAATAAGACTAGTGGCTTAAGCATTGGGAAATCTGGAGTGACATCACATATGCAGAACATAAAATAAAATCATAGAATTTTCCATAGAAAGATCATATATCTATGAAAACCTATATATTTGTGGGAGAGGATGAATGAGGTCAACTTCTCCTCTCTAACGGTGATCCATACGACAAGGACTGTGAATATGCTCATCAAATTATTATATAATCCCCTCGCTATACGTACCATACAATCAAAATGAGGTTGCTCATTCTTACTATCTAGATAAGAGCTGGGAGTTGTAGATCGAGGAGGAGAGGGAGAGAGAGGAGAGAGGTTTAATGTTGTTGTTATAGTTTTTACCGCCGAACAAACGAAGTAAATTGAAAGCAGCAAATTCAACTTTTTTTATGTTGCTTGGACTTTGTCAGGACATATCTCACGAGAACTTAAAGAAGAAAGAAGACAAGAGTTTATTTTAGAGTACAGTCTCTGCGATGACAAACCTTCGACGTTCCAAGTGCGTTGCTTGCGGGAATTGACATGCATAATTGTCTTCCGGAGGATCGAAGAAGCCAATATCAGCATCTAATAACAGATGCTTCAGAGATAGATCGCATCGAAAAGGCTAAACTATTATTATTATTTGACGTACTAAAGATTGCAGAATCATTAGACAACTTTGTGTCACGGCCATTATTTCCTCTGGTTTCATAAGCTTTTTCCTCTGGTTTCATAAGCTTATGCAATGTCCCCATCCTCGACGGTCCCATTAGGCCTATTCTAAATTAGTTGGCTGGAATATGAAAATATATTGGCATCTGGAACTTGATGAAGATAGTAATTACGATGTCAGATGACGCCTCACGTCTCCGACGACGCGACGGCACCCGGTTAAACGGATCGAAACACAGCCTGAGGCGCATTAACGCCCACTTAGACTCGGCTCTTCACGCCACGCAACATCAGTGTCAGATGCCACCATCTGCCCCTGCAAGCGGGCACATCAAACAACAGCAAACTTTCCTATAAATACCCTCGCACTCTGAACGACCGGGGGGAAGGACAGAGGAGAAAAGAACACACCAGGGAGACACCTCAAACTCTTCTTCTTCTTTCCACCCCCTCCACCATCTACTGATTTGATCATCGGAGGGGTCGGGTCGAGCCTCCCGACCCGACCTGTGTGTAGGACGACAAACAAAGCGCGTGCCAAGTCGAGGAGCCCCCTCCGACGGAGATGGCTGACCCCGTCCTGATCGGACCGCCGCAGCCGACCACCTCGGCGAACCCAAGAGCCGCACCGGGGAGATCCCACCATCCGGACCCGAACCGAGCCGTGTCGGTCCCGAGGTCACGGCTTCAGGTTGTTTACCACAACAGAACTGCCCTATTAATGAGAGAGGAGAGTGTTCTGCCAACTGCTGAGAGCACCCAAATGCTAACTAAAAACAACTTATATTCTTATACACCTATTAATCCCTTTACACACCTTAAATTTTGTTGTTTTAAGTTTTGTAATTAGTATTTTAGCTTTTCATTTGAGCTTCCTACAATAACCTTATATGGATCAATATTTTCATTAAGGTAAGCATAAAAAATCAATCAAATCGCTCTCCTCGGACTCGACATCGAATATTTCTCGATACACCCAAGTACCAAATAACCCTTGATAGAGTCATTGAAAGCCAACATATCAAGTTAGCAAGGGTTCATTTGGGAACACATTTGAAATGAAATGTGCATTGAGGATCCAATGCACATTTTAAATGTAAATGGGTGTTTGATAAATTTGTTTCAAATCGCATTTAGTTTGAATACTACATTGGAAATGTTCAAATATTGATGCTACCTCAGGTAGCCGTTGGCTGGGCTCGGCACAATGTTGGGTCACGTCCAATGCGCGTGGCCACCACAAGAGAGGGAGCCATGGGCTTCTGGCCAAAGCCTAGCCTCGGTCTTGTGTTGGGTTAATTTGGGTTGGCTGATCACCTGACTCAAGTCAGACCTAAACCTAGTCAATTCCTCAATCAAATTAATTTATTTTCTTTTCCTTTTCTACATAAACTTATAATTACAAAATAACAATTAATCAATCAATCAAAAGATTAAAAATAACTA